GGGGGGGAGCCAAACTAACTAACTACATTTAGTCACATGTCAAGCTTGTGGTTCCTAAATATTTGTCCTCTAACCTTTCTTACAGTATTGTTCTGGTATTTTTTACTACTGATTTGGTGACGTCTGTAGCGAATGAAAGTACCTCAGGTCAAAAAATTATGGGGCAGCAAAACAAACTACTGTCATTTTAATAAAGAAGTCAGACACTAATTGGCCTTTTTCCATCACCCTGTGAGCAACTGAGATCTGATTTAATGCTGCACATGGCACGAGTCTGCAAACAGCAGGGCACAGTCAGAGGAGTTGGTTACCTCGTTGAGAAGTTGGTGGAGTACAGCCTGTCGCCTGCAGCTCCTTATCTAACGGCTCACTGTGGCTGCTCATTCTTGTTCTATTACTTTGCAGCTTTTGATGCACTGAAAATGGTGAAAATGATCATTGTCTCGTTTTGTTTGTAGCGGTAAGTGCCAAGGTGACTGACAAGTTGCACTTTCTGTGCGTACTTAAAAACCCCAACTCATTTCAGAGCTTTTAACCTGGAAATACTTCACATGAATTAACATGGCATGCTTCATCAGCAGGTGATACACTTTACCAACATTTTGCTACCTTACTCAGTCACAATGACTAAATAATTTGCCCTTTTGAGCAGCTTATCCAAAATTTATTTGACAGAGATTTTGACTCCTCATCTTAACACCATTGTATTGCCAAGTCAACTACTTTTTTACACACATATTACATAATTAAATTCATTATGCAAAATATATTTCAATGAATTAAAGAATACTCTGGTTTCTATGAAAGGCATCACCAGATATATTAAAAATGTATAATTTTCAATGCATGGATCCAAACATATGAGACATTTCAGGCCCAGGCTCCGTGGGTTATCAGTGGGGTTCCAAATGACTACTTTTCACTTAATTTGGAGTCATAGTTTGAATTTTTGGACAGCAGTAAAATCTGCCAGTAGCGCTTTTCTGTACAGAGTGGCAGCAATGAATGCTCTTTTCTTTAAAGACTGTTACTGCTAGCTCAACAGTGATCACAGCGAGGGGTTGTGGTTTTGGGGTTAGTTTGATTTCCTTACCTGAATGAGACAGCAAATGCATTCGTAGACGGAGGCTGTCCAGGAAGCTCTTCCCACACAGCTCACAGCTGTAGGTCTTCATTCCACTGTGCATCTTTCTGTTGACAAAGAGCAAAAAGAAATATTTTACCATCTTTCAGTGAGACCAGCCAGCACTTAATGTACCACCGATAGACATTTGTGTCTCTAACAAAGCGGCTTTTTACAGCTCATAACTAAAAACTTCCAGAACAGAGAAAGTTTGGCCTTGTGCATTTTGAGAGAATATGTCACACTCCATCAGTCTTAACATCAGCACAAAACAGTAACCATGAGTGTAACAAGTCATCCATCTACCACACATATTCTTCTGCAGGGACCAGTAGACCATGACTTGCCGCTGTAAATCACAAGGTGCTATTCAAGCAGAGGCGGCATTATCAGCTACCTACATCTAGAGCGCTGCAGAGGGATACGATGCTGTAAAGTGAAATAGACTAAAATAAATAGTGAAACAGAAACACGCAAAACCTCTACTTACTGTTGCGAACCATTTATGGAACAGTTTTTGATGACTGCTCTCAGAGCTATGAGCTGTTGCGTAGCTTGAAGCCAAATCAGATTTGCAATAAATTGTCTATTTCCAAATGGACAGTCATTAAGCTGTAACGTAGTTTAAGCACACAAGGTCAGACAAGACTAAGGGTCAATATTTGATTATGAAGTAAAGGCCTTGAAGGCTAGCTAAGTAAATAACATCTGACAACAGAAAAGTCTAGTCTTACGGCTCTCTCTGTTCCTCAAATCCTCAAAGACCCCACGGCTCAGTACAAAGCATATTATTCTTGAGAGATATCTGAAAGTGCTCTAAAGCAATTAAAGTGACACGAATTGCCAAACAACTGCCACAGTGCCTTAAGCATCTTGAGAACTTCAAATACCTCGCCTTGAGAGAGGTACACAAAGCCACAGACACACCCATGATTGTAATGATTGTCAAGTTTGTGCTGTTTCTGATTTGGCACGTTTAGTCTTCTACAACTGTTGCTCTTTCATACAACACAGCTCCAAAAATGAAGCATTACTTTTTTGATGGTAATACTAGATTGTGGGGGAGAAATGAAGTGACAGGTTGTGAAAAAGCCTTTAGCTGAAAAAGAAAAAAAAAAACATATCAAAAAAAAGTGCACAGGAAAAAGACATGATTCTATACTCAGGTGAGTGTATGCTTCAAGCAGGCAAAAAAAAGACAACATCAAATACAGCTCACGCTCTCCACTGACTAGTCAGGTGGCAAAAAGTGATCAGCCAAGTGCATTCTTGGGGAAACAATGCCCTTGATGAGAGTTCTGCTCAACTTGGGTGAGATGACAGCCATCCATCTTAGCGGCTCAACAAAGCTACAGAGGAGGAGGTGGTGCCACTTTCCCAAAACATGACTGATTGATGTCAGATGTCGAATGCAAATTGATTTACAGCTCTCTTTTGTGCCTCGAGAGGGAAAGGAAGAGACAAAGCGAGGATTGAGACCAGGACAGACAGAAAGAGATTATAGCGTGTGCTATGGCAATGGCTTTGGGAGTTATTAAGCTATCAAGTCTAGTATGACTTCACTTACAATTAATTGCTGCAAAATATCCTCCAAACCTGACACGAGCAGGGTAAAAACCAGAGAAGTATGAAATTAAAGAGAGGTTAGAAGTTGTGAAGAGACCCTGGAAATCAAGGGCAGAATGACAGCCCTTTGGCATGCAGTCAGCAATTAAAAGGTCCTCTAAATGCTAACTGCCCCCAAAAGGGAAGAGGACACTTAAAAACAACAAAATAGGAGAAACAAAGTGTCATAGAGTGTTACATATCGTTAAAGGGCAATAACGCTCCAGATACCGATGTTATATTTAGCAGCTGCACATCATAAGAGTAGCATAAAACAAACATCTTAATCTAATTTGAAAACTTGGCAAACAGGCATGACAACATGGCATCAAAATGACATCAGGATGTTGTTTTGTTGCACAAATATTTGAAAAACTCTAAAGCAATTGCTCAAACTCCAAATTGCTCAAGTGCAGTAGAGCTGCATTGTATTCATTTCTATTGAGGAAACCGCCAATGGACAAACTGTCAACTCTTTTTCTCCGCTTTTATAATAGAGTTCCTCTGTGACTGGTTTCAAAACAGTAACCCTTAAAAATGACCTTTTCTTTTACTCGAGGGCATCAAAGACTAGCGTTTATTCCTATTGTTTTAGAAATATTAAAAACAAAATTTACAATTTTAAAAACTGAAAAAATATTTGACAAAAGACCAACTGGAAAAAGCTATGGAAAAGGGTTTTTCTTTCCTGTAAGAGTCATATGCGATGTACTCACACGCTCTCAATCAGATAAGGAGAAAACACACGTACGTGGTAAGCCACAACATACACAGAGGACAAAGCCTTTCAAAGGCCTTTTGTGTCCCTCCTCAATCTGGCCATTGTGCCCCCCAGACAGAGCACTGAAACGGTATGGATGGACTTATTAAGGGCACTCAAAGCGGAACCAATGCCATGTATTTTCACCGTAAATGTAGCATTGATGAGCAAAGGGTGGTGTGCACGTCTGTAGCTGGGGCTGTGTTAACTTTAACTGCAATGGCTAGCACTACCTACTGAAAAAGCACATTACTTGATGTTCAACAGAATGGCAACAGCACCTGTTAAAGTGATTCTGTGTGTTAAAGGGAAGGGTTGGGAATTTTAGAAGACCGCCTTTTTAAAAACGCATTTCTTTTGGCAAAAACTGCAGATTCTCTACAGGCCACTTGAGGCTAACTGAAATGTTTAAAGGCCCAACTAGACAGCAGATAAAAGAATATTTACAGGCTCGAAAAATTATTTTGTCCTATTTCTCTCTTTATTACAGTTTGCATGGTGGATGATTTTTTTAGATAATTTTTTTTAGAACTCCCTTTATTAAGGCTTAAGTGTAGAGACATGAACACTGACAGGTGAATGGCAACACAGGAAGCTGTAGCTGACAGCTGTCTGCTAGCCGTCTGCTTCTTGTTCTCTAAACCGTCTAACGGAACTGGACCTCTCGGCCATGTTTTGGTGTATTAGCAGTTATGTAAGACACAGTGTAGCTTAATCTGGTTGATTGTGCTAGCTGCTGGTCTGAATCGGTGCTCCAGTTTTGGTCAGTGAAATACTCGTATTTCAAGCCGACGGCTAGGTTTTCTTGTGGACATTCCAGGCTACAGTTGCCTAGGTGAAACCTCTAATATGTTTACTCCCAGGTCATATGTCAATAATTGGTATTCTTCACTCTCATTGGTAGGCACTTCAGTTGCTTGCCTGGAAGCTGAGAAAAGTTTACCTGAGGTCCTACCCACTTCCTGTTGCCAGCAGTTAGTGCTCACAGTTACTTGAAGTCATGCAAGGTCATTCACTTTCTATGTTCTCTATTTGCCACGTCACTACAAATTGCTTCCACCGTGGATGTAACTTTATTGTTCTACTCTCTGATCCAAATACGGTCACCTCGGGCTTCGGCAGCGGTAAAAATTCAAACTGCTGATGACTTCCACAAGCTAACCTGATGCAGTATAAGCAGCTTTATCTGTACAGCTGCCATAATTAAGCCAGCACATGACTCATTAATTGGTGTGTTAGTTTAGTTCATCTATGAGTCCACTTGGATGCTAGTGGCAAAAATTCCGTCATCAGTGAGCGCAAGGCTCTCTGCTTTTTCTTGTCACTTGGTGGACTGGTCCATGGGGACACGGGGACTACAACGCACCTCAATGCATGCGCCCTTTGGGAGGATTTCAAAGACGTATAACGGGAATGACTACTCATCCATGTCGTCGGCAGATGTCTTTATCTGTATCAGAGTATAATCCATGTGTAACATTGTTTCAGTCAGTCTATCCACCTTGACTGGATACCATGATTATAATAATAATAATAATAATAATGGATTGCATTTATATAGCGCTTTTCAAGGCACCCAAAGCGCTTTACAATGCCACTATTCATTCACTCTCACATTCACACCTGGTGGAGGCAAGCTACGGTTGTAGCCACAGCTGCCCTGGGGCAGACTGACAGAAGCAAGGCTGCCATATTGCGCCATCGGCCAATACCAGTAGGCGGTAGGGTAAAGTGTCTTGCCCAAGGACACGACGACCAGGACAGAGAGCCCGGAGATCGTAACCGGCGACCTTCCGGTTACAGATACGCTTCCCAACCCCCTGAGCCATGGTCGCCCGTGATGATGATCATAAAGAAAGGTTTACCCTTTATATACACGAGAAAGGGTGAAAAAAATACCTTTATGAAGATGAATGTTGTGATTAGCTTGTCTAATAACAGCAAGTATTTATGAACCCTACTTCTTTGGGGACAGTGCAGTACAGCAGAATAGTATGCATCATTAGAAAACAGTTAGTACTTAAGGCATACTTTATATGCCTTGAAATGCTCCGTGTGCTTAAGTAGAGCTGATAATGGCTATTCAGTAATTCTGTTTTACACACTTCAGTGCTTTAACAAGGTTTAATGGTATGCATAAGGATACTAAAATATTGTCTCAGCTTAGTGATTTACTTGAGATAGACCCCCCTCTGTGCACACCCTTTCTCAAATCCCATCGTAACTGTCTGCTTTCATGTTGTGCTACTGAAATAGATGATGAGGTGTGTGCGTGTCTAAACGAGGGTGTGTGGTGGGTGGCAGTCCAGGGAGGGAGGGTGATTTGAAACAGACTGACTGTACCCATTAAGGAAGTTCACATAAAACTCTCTCAGGCCATTTACTCAGTTAATAATCGACTTTGTCCAACAGTCACTTTTGACAACGACAATAAATTTTAAATTTATGTCAACAAAACATATGCTGATCACCTCGTGCAGAGTGCTTCCTCATAAAAAGCAGCCCAACCAAGGGCTGTTTCACTTCATGTGTGTATGTTTGAAACGTGAGTCGATTACAGGCCTGTGTTATTGAGCCGTAACAGCTTGCCTTATGTAGTTTCTGAGCTCTCCTTTCCTATTTTGCCGCCAGTCTTGGCTCGCCATATATCATAACTTGCGCTGTAAAGACCCAAGCTTTCCACCTGCTATCAACTTGTAACAG